TATGTCAAATTCGACTACTTCAACCGTTCTCACCTCACCTTTTTCCCAACTTTGTGTCTGTCTCTTTTGCATCTTTGTGACACTCTTCTGTCCCTCCCCCCCCCCATCTCGACCTTTTTCACTTTGATGTTCCTTCCCATCTGTGAAGCTTGAAGCCAACTTAAGGGCAAATGATAACTATCAAAACGCCCGCCATTTGATATAAATAAATTTCCATTAAACTCCATTAAAAGAGCATTAAATTGAAAATCAATTTCGAATTAGATTTTGATGTCTCGGATGTTATTTATATCAAATGGCAGGCGTCTTGATGGTTATCATTATACCTTTAGTTGACTTTAGGCTTCACAGAGAGGAAGGAACATCAAATTGAAAAAAATCGAGGGGGGGGGGACAGAAGAGTGTTTCAAAGATGTAAGAGACAAACACAAAGGTAGAACAAAGGTGAGGTGAGTACTGTGAAAATAGTCGAATATGGCATAGAGTGAGGTGATGATAGTTTGAAGTAAGAAGTTAACTGCCAGTCAATAGACTTTTTTGCCGTATGAATATGCGTTGCCCATAGTGCACCACATGAAGGTAAGTCTATCGCACACCCCCCTTTTCAAATATTCTGTCACTAATTTATACAATCGTCAGCTCTCACCGCTATGTCTATATAATCTTGTCTATCAAAACCCCACGATGACGCAAACCCCCATCTTAGACACTTTGTCGGCTGTCATTGCGCTCACATTTAATGCTAAATTGCCTTATCTTTTAATTGTGCTCCATTGTGTTTGCCACTTCTACATTAATAAAAAAAATCACATTTTCTTACCACGGACTCCACTACCGCGCCTCAATTTCATACACGGATAACCGCCAGGCCTTTTTTTCTAATACCTTACGGATTTTCTTCCAAATCTGCGCACCATTACACACCATTGCCTTTTCGTGTAGCAATTTTCGTTCTTCTCCTCTCTCACCTCAACGTCTGTTCATTCTGGTTTTTTTTGTGATCACGGTAGCAATACAAAGAAAATCCACTTATCCGAGATGGTGGAAGTGGGAACTAGGGGAACAAATGGAATTATTAAGTGGAGAAAATTATCTCACCTGCACAATCCAAGAATTAATTAACATTGTAATTTAATTTGTAGAGAAAATAAATGAACAGGTTAAATCAATAGGTAGTTATTTAAATCAATTACATACCTGCCTTTTTCTCAGACCAAAAGAAAAACAGCTAATTAACGCTTTTAAAGCAATTTAGTTATAAATATTTTAAATCATTAAGAGGAAGCAAACTTTTATGTATTTAAATGGTCGTCTCTCGGAGTTAACATAATGGAAATTCAATTTTCTGGTGCTTGGCACACAGAACCGAAAAGAAAACATGTAAATTAATTGAAGTCTGGAAACATTGTTTGTTCTATTTCATTATGCTCAACTCCGTCAAAGGACATCCGCTTGCTAAGCCAATTTGTTAACAAATTCTTTACAATTTCTTCAACTAGATTATCTGACGGGTAATTGTGAAGTTTGTCCTCATAAATATTAAACAATAAGGCACTTTTTGAGTCCAAAGATAATCATTATTGGTTAATACGTGATTGCCAAAATTGTTGCAAAATCGCCAAGAGCTCACATGTGAAACTTAAAACTGGAAAAAATGGTAAGATGAGTACTGTGATAGAGGTCGAATGTGG